AAATCTTGGACAAACTGATCTGTATTGGAAGAAATAAGGCCAGAGTGCTCCTTGGAGGCAAGGATGGCAAGATTTCATCTTACATAATTTGGACATATTGTCAGGAGAGCCCAGTCCCTGAAGAAGAACATCATGTTTGGTGAAACAGTGAAAAAGAGGGTGCTGTCAACGAGATGGATTGACATAATGTCTGCATCAATGGACGAGGGCACAGGAACACTTGTGACGATGGCGCAGGACTGGCAGTGTTCCATGCTGTTGCACATGTGGTCACTGTGGGTTGGAGCCGACTCAAGGACACCTAACAACAACATCTAAGCTGAAACAGTCACTGATGACCCATTCCCACTTCCCTGCACTCACGCCTGTGTTTATTTTTGCCAATGTAGATCATGTAGCTTTCTTTCACCATTATCTCTGCATTTCAAAATCGTATGTCTCATTTGAGGCCCTTCACAAATACCATATATTTTCCTTTATCCTTCTCCTTTGTATTTATCTAATGCTCTAACCTTCTCTGTTGTACTTCTGTCCAACAAAATCTAATCTCTCCTTATGTTGATACCTATGTAGTTTTCTTTGCTTTTCTCTGGTAATATCACTATTTGTATTATGTTTCATTGCTTATTTTTCTTTATCATCTCTTCTAAATTACAGACAACTTGCAACCATGCACTTTCTTACCCATTTTCAAATGACTATTCTGTGGTTTGAAATGTAAAGCATATTAACTAAATCTATACATAACCAGTTCAATTTAGTTGAGGAATATAGATAAGCTATATGCTTCTTTTCCCAAGTGAGTTATCGTTTTGCTATATTTCAGTGTTTCCCTGTACCTATCATTAGGGTAGTAGTCCCTGGGTGGTGCAAGAAGCTAACGTGCTAAGCTGCTGATTGAAAGATTGGGGGATCAAACCCACCCAAAGGTGCCTCAGAAGAAAAGCCTTGTGTCTGAAAAATGAGTCATGGGACCTTATGAAGCACGGTTCTACTTTGACATACATAGGACTATCATGGGTCCAAGTTGACTAGATGGCAACTGGAACTGGATTTTATAAGAATTAAAATGTGACTTGAATGAATATTTCCTAGAGCCTACAAAGAGACTAAAAGTCACTTTATGAGAATCCAATTAGAACCCTAGAAATACTCATAAGTCTTACCTGTGGAAAAAATATTCATAAACAATTAATGTCGCACTAGTTACAAGTGGCTAAAGATAGGTTGGGAGCATTATTCCTAGACATGTGAGTCCCTAGATAAACATAGCACTTGCTAATCTTGATATAAAAAAATCTTGTTAGCAATGGTTCCGCTGGGACAGCATTACCCTTCAATGACCAGAGCATTTTCATCTCTGCCTCCTTTTAAATAGTGTGCAAAGTATACATGAGTCATGGCGCAAGTTGGATGAGAAGAACAGATCGCTCATGTCATAGTTACTTCAAGTTATTCCAATGGAACTTCTGAAATAAAAAAGTAGACAAATTATCTCAGGACACTGATATGGCAACTCAGCAGTGACTCAGGTACGTTTGAACAGTTCTGTCACTCACATTGCTCTCTGTAGACAAATCCTTTTAATATAGTTTTCTACTTCTTTTCATTCTTGCAAAAGTGCATCTTCCTCTGCTGCAGACTCAGCCACTGTGTTCTCTGAGTTTCTTCTCCAGCTAGGTGACTCGTACTGAGGTGCTGTGGGGCTCGGCCAATACAGTACATGATGTCTTTGCCCCGATGTTACTTTGGCTGTTGCATTGATCTCCATACACAGAATGAGGTGGACTTTTGAAAAGCTTTTAGAATATAATTTGTACGATGGAAATTCACTATTTTGTCATTTGCCTTATATGATGAAGTCAATTATTTTTCATTGAGATTCTATAAGACTGAAACTCTGCTTGACGAGTTTTGTGAGCATTCTAGATTACAAACAATCACATAAATATAGGACATTTTGTATGATGCACACACAGATGCTTAAAAAAGTTTGTAAAAAAGAAAAACTAAAAGATAATGGAATTTTCCCAGTTTTTGAAGCCTCTTCATACATGTAATGTATATAATCTAGAAGCATGTATTCCGTATATATGTATGTTACTTCTCTATACATTTATATGTATTTTTGTGCATCTTTACATATATTTCCATATACTGTTATATATAATTTTGTGTATATTTTCATACTCTTCTTTATGGTGTTTATAAAAATATATGTACCTATGTATTTCAAAAACACATGGAAAATTCAACTATCTTTTAATTCCGTTAATTCACAAATTTAAATCTCCCTCACATATATAGTCTGATGGAATATTTTGTAGAATTCCTAGCAGAGAGTGAGTATAAAAAAATGGTGACTATTAATATCTCATCAAAATTCTGGAAGTACAAACAATCCAATTAGAGCCGCTATTTAATAACTGTTCTTTAGGCATGGTTGAATCCAGTATTTTACACACACACACACACACACACACACACACAATTTCTAAGTGACTGGATAAACCAAAGATTTTCCAATGGAAAAATTAATGAAAACAAAACAACAAAAAATGTTCCTATTATGTTTTTTCAATTATTTAATGGTATTTCTTCTATTTTTATAATAAAAAATGCTTGATGGGTAATTGACCAATATTTATGGTGCATTACAGATGTTATCTCAGGCTCCACATTTTCAAAGGTTCCAAGTTAATGTGCTCATGCTTCAGTGCCTCATAGTGGCAAAGGAAAATGACAAAAAGACAAAAATACTCAAACACCAAAACCAAAACTCACTGCCATAAAATCCACACTGACTTTCACCAACATTATCAGACTTGGTAGAATGGCTTCTGTGAGTTTCTGAGACTGTAACTCTTCAGGGTGTATAAAGCCCTGTCTTTCTCTTGGAGAGTGGCTGCAGATTTTGAACTAGTGACCTTGCAGATTGCAGTTGGTAAATGAAATATCCACAAATTAGTACTCTAGAAAAGTCAGTTCACGAAAATGCAGCCTAACTCTTCTACCTTCGTGAGGATAAGTTTGAGAGTCAATTTTCTCTTTGAATCTACAGATGCCTCTGTTTGCCTCTTGTGAAAATATTTTCCCTTTGAAGGTTAATTTATTTTTTGTTCCCTTTATGTCTATAATGATCTTAGGACAGAGAGACACAACCCATGGCTTTTCCATATGATGTTAAAAATTAAATAGTCAATGGTAGAGATTTGGATGAATATTTGATATCTGGTTTCTAGTGCTGGGCCCCCAGCATGAATATATTTCTGGTCAAAGCCTTTTGTTCACTAGAGGAATGCAGTGACACGAACAAACAAAATGAGGCCCTCATTCTAGAGGTGAGGTCCTGGTGTTCATTCAGGTACTCTTTATTTTGGCATCTTATTTAGATTTTTCATAACCATGTAAGTAAACTAATTCCCATACTAACTTAAATCTTGGAAAATTAAAAAGACAAGCCCAAATTTTTATTTCTCAGTCAAAAAAAATTAATGTTCTTAAGAAGTAGTTTTACTAGAATTTTATCCAAAGCACATAAGAAACAACTAACTTGTAAAATAACAGTACTTCTTTATCTGACATCAGACTACTAATACATTTAGATATATTAATATTATTGAACACCGCTTATGAACAATGGACTATGAAAAGAAGCATAAGCAATAAACAAAAATTTCCTCCTTTCTTTAGAGTCATAAAATGCAATTGTGTGAATTATAGAGCTGATAGGAAATCATATCAGTGAATATGATTGTTTTTGTACTGCATATTGAAAATCACATACTAAATTCTCTCAAATTCAATCACTGGGTGAAGAAGGGCTAGCTTGACTTTTCCAATAGTTCAAATTAAACTCTTTAATAATAAAAAGATAAAAATTTGTTGTTATTTTTGATACCTCTAGTCAGTCCCAGCTCAGTGACTCCATGTACAATAGCAAGAAACACTGTCTGGTCCTGCACCATCTTCACAATTGTTGTTATCTCATTAATTACATATCCAAGAGCATAACATAATAATGTGATATAAGTTATATGAACTAAAATAGGGATATCTTTGAAAGTAAATCAATTCCACTAAAGTCTATGAATCCTGCTTTATCAAGTAGAATGAGTACACATTTGATTCAGCCTGACTCCTTAAGTTCACTGCCCTATATACCAGGAATTTAAAAGTGGTGAGGTGAGATGTAAAAAGTTTAATTTTTGGAATATAACTGTCATACTGAAATGCAGAGATGAAAGCCAATGACATATAGGCACTAAAAAAGAAAGTATTGAATGTACAGTGTATTTATACAGACTTAGGTGGATTTAAAGAATCATGGTGGTACAATGATTAAGCACTCATCTGCTAACAGATTAATGTACAATGGTATACTGTATAGACACTAAAAAAGAAAGCATTGAATGTACAGTGTATTGATACAGACTTAGGTGGATGTAAAGAACCATGGTGGTACAATGATTAAGCACTCATCTGCTAACAGA